AAAAAAAAAAAAAAAGTGAAAGATAAATTGACATTGGCCTCTGGAGTTAGACTGCCCGTCAATCACCACCTGGGCAACCTCTGACAAGAACCCCCCTCCTTATCATTTATTCATCTTTCTTTTTTTTTTTTTCAGTTTTTGTCTGGGGCTGGGTTTGAACCCACCTCCGGCATATGGGGCCAGTGCCCTACTCCTTTGAGCCACAGGCACTGCCCCCATTTATTCATCTTTCAAATGAGAATTATTAGTGTACAAAAATTACTGTTACAGTTACTATGCTGCGTAACAGGTAACCCTAAAATTTACTGGCTTACTAATGACCACATTTGTTTTGCTTAAGAATCTACAAATTGGGCTCGGCGCCTGTGGTTCAAGTGGCTAGGGCACCAGACACGTACACCCAAGGTGGCGGGTTCGAATCCAGCCCGGGCCTGCCAAACAACAATGACGGCTACAACCAAAAAATAGCCAGGCGTTGTGACGGGCGCCTGTGGTCCCAGCTACTTGGGAGGCTGAGGCAGGAGACTCCCTGGAGCCCAGGAGTTGGAGGTTGCTGTGAACTGTGATGTCATGGCACTCTACCCAGGGGGACAGCTTGAGGCTCTGTCTCAAAAAAAAAAAAAAAGAATCTACAAATTGGCCTTGACTATCTCACCTCAGCCACACTCACCACCTGGCTACATAACTCTCAAAGTCAGAGTATGGGACAATTTGAGGGCTCACTTTCATCTAGCAGTTGAAGCTAGCTACTGCCTGAGACCTTAGTAGGACCACCACCCAAGACCCACACAGAAGGGCTCTTGTGGTATCTGCTTCCTCACAAGCCTAGCGCCGAGTAGCCCAGTTCCAATAGCAGCCTTTCCACAGAACAGAATCCTTCTTGTAACAAAGCCTTGGAAAGTCACATGACGTCACTTCTGCCACACTCTGTTGGCCAAAGGAGCAGGAGCAGTACAGATGAGGAGAGTCTTGATGAATGTGGAAGGTTGTGGAAGACGTGTGTGATCAGAAATACGGCTGTGGCCATTTCGAGTAAACACAATGTGCCACCCCAGAGACTCTGAGTGACACAAGCTGGCCCGTGTGGCCACTAGCTTGCCTACATCCCACCTTGCACCCAGCTTTGTCCCTGAGAGGTAACAACACCTCTCAAGGCATCATGCAGGCCAGTGGTACAACTTGTCCCTAGTGGGTCATGAAATCATTCCAGAAGGTTTTCTTTGGTTTGTAAACTTAAGAAACGTGGGAATTATTAGCCTGCCTCCTTGACTGACTTTCAAGCTCAAAAGCCAATAAGTGGAGCTAGGGAGGGAGTCAGGATGCATTAGGCAGCCAGGGCCTCAGTTGTCTGGCATGGGTTGGTGGTAGCTGTGTGCACTGCCTACCTGCAAGCCAGGGCCTTTCCTCCAGGCTGAACCACCAGAGTCCATCCATCAAGTCCATATCCTCTTCAGCTAGACTTTCCCACTCCCAGATGAGAAGGAACTCTTCCTCCCAGTGCTTTTCTTTGGTTTGTTTTGCTTTTAGAAAAGTGCAGGAGTTGGCAGTTGGAATTTCTGACTTCCAACTCCAGGATGGGCAACCTCGGGAAGGTTCCCTGTCTGTCTGTACTCAGCTTCTCACTTTCAAAAGTCAGGCACCTTGTTCTTCGGATCACTGGGAGAAGAGATGACATCCTGTGCGTAGAGAGCCTGGCACAGAGCCTGGCGCACACTAGGCGCTTAAGAGAGTCAGCACTACATTGTAACCTCGTGTGCAGGCCTCGTGAGGCGGACCAGCGTTGGAGACTAACCCTAACCCTAACTTCATTGAACCCAGTGTTCAGCACGCCCAGGCTCTGCCTTTTTTTCCCAGGCCGTCCTCCCTGCCCGCCCTTCTCCTCTGAACTCCTATTCCTCCACCCTGCCCCTTCCAGCTTCCCAACTACACACGTCGTCCACACTTAACCCCCAATGTTAATTCACATCATTTATCAAGTTCTGCAATCTTGCGCTTACCGGCCCAAGGGTGTCGACGAAGCTTAGGCCACTCCGTGAGCCCCACTCTCCACTCCCACCCCTAAGAAGAGCCAGCACCTTAGCCAGAGGTGTACACAAGGACCAAAGCCGGCGCCACTGCTAAATGTGTACGCAGAGGCCGGGATACTCAGCCGGGGTGGGGTCCGCGAAGGGCGAGGTGGCGGGGGAGGGGTCCTGAGGACTCAGGCCAGCAGGGGGCGCGCACGGAGCGGACAGGGCCGCACCTGTCCTGCCGGCTGGTGGGAGATGGGAGGGGGCCAGGGCCCCGGAGCAGCTGCGCGCCCCGCCCCGCGGGCTCCTCCCCGCCGCCGCGGCCCCCAGGCTGCTGTCCCGATGCGCTGCGCCCGGAACCCAGGCCGAGTTGCCGCCGCAGCTGTTGGGGCGCCCAGGCTGGGTGACGCTGCAGCTGCCCGAGCCCCTCTCAGACCCCGACGTCCACATGGATCCCCCTGAGGGTGCTTGCCCGGGAGGTGAGTACGACCCCAGTCTCTGGGACCACCAAGCTGCGCCTTCCCGGCTGCGAGCCGCAGCCCTCCCCCCCCACCCCCGTCAGGCCCTCCCATCAGCCGCACCCGGGGGCGCAGAAGATCCGCCGGCAGCTCCGAGAGCCGGGAAGGTGTGGGGGGCGGCAGAGGGAGGCTGTCAGTCGTGCGGGAGGCACCTCCCGGGAGCGGCCCCCGCGCGGGGCTGGGGGCTCACAGACCGAGTCTCCGCCTCCTTGTCTGCATTACTGGCCCAGAAAGCCGGTGCCTAGCGCGCTCCCTTATGGGGTGGCCCAGAGTTTCGTCCTGGACCCTCTCCTAGCCGAGCCAGCTGGGGATCCGGGGAAGAGGAAGAAGCATGCAAAGGACCGGAGTTTGGGGACCCAGTCGGTACAGTGTGGAGGAGCCGCTGCCTGCTTGCTAGCGGGTCCGCTTTGTTTCCCCCGGCAGCGACTGGGGAGGGGAGATGGTCGGAGGCCGCGGGCAGAGATCCTGTAAGGGGCTAGGGACGGGATCTCGCTGGGGGAGTGGGGGATGCACCAGGGCGCGGCCTGCTGGGGGCTCCCGAGGCTGCCATGGTGGCCGGCCTGGGCCAGGCCCAGGGGTGCACACACCTGGGAATGTAGCTTAAGTGTGCTTGGAGTGGCCTCTTATCGCAACCCCGGTCTGCTGTGTGGGAGGAACCGCAGAAGGCTGAAATCCTACCGCTGGTTTCCCCCCCTTCCCCTTGGAGTCTGGCTCCAGGCTGGGTGGTGGCTGGTGAGAGAGGAAAACTCTCAGAAAAAACCTCCTTTCCCCTCAACCTTTTCCAGCAGAGTCTTCTAGGTTCCATGAACCTAGAACTTGGATGTAAACTGCAGACCCTTTCACCTACCTGTCCAGGCTCCCTACCTCCTGAGTTTCCTGGGTGCAGGCGGCAAGAGTGGGGGTCCCATCCTAGGGAGCAAGAAGGTGACTGGAGTGCAAGCCAGCCTGCTCTTTCCTAGCTACACAAGGGCCTCCAGCCACACATAGTGACCTCCTCTGGAGTCTGTCCCCAGAGATGTGGGTCCAGAGATGGTGGGTCCACCTGCCTCTGTATATCTTTAGTCCAAGGTGGGAAAATGATGTCCTGTCTGGGAGCCCTTGTCACGCTCCCTCTAAGCACCATCAGACACACCCAGGGACTAGTAAGTTTGAGTTTCTCTTTTGTCATTTCTGGGAGAAAATCAGAGCTCTTTTTTGCCATTGACCGTCTCAGGACTCTGGGTCTTCCCAGCAGCAGCTTCGTGAGTAAGGACTGGAGTGGGAATAGGGGTGGGGGTCAGAGCTGCTTCCAGGCTGTGAGTGAGAGTGAGCCTTTAGGTGCTGACAAAGTAATCAGACCTCTCTGAGCCTCAGTTTCCATGTCTCTTGGTGGAGAGAGCCCTCTTCCCTCACGGGGCTGGGAAAGTCGGTGAGATAATAGAGGTAAGGGCTTTAAGAGGAAGTTAACATCTTTGCTGTTTTTCCTTTGTGGAAGTGAAGGAGGCCTTTTAGCAGCTTAAAAGAAAAGCAAGAGAGCAGGCTCAGTCTGAGTCCATCACTGCCTGGCTGGGGGCCTCAGACACCTAACTCATTTAGTGCACAGGTATCTTTTCATCTGGTTCCCACTCCAGCAGGCATTATATGCTTCCAGTGGGGCACAGCAGGGCAGGAGAGCCCTGTCTGCAGAGGGCTCACACTTGTCCACACCGTTGGCCTGTCTCTTTGGAAAGTGGCTGGTGGGACTTCATAAGGTCACATGCTAGGGACATGTCTGTCATTGTCTGAGTTCTCATATACCTTTGAAAACTACAAAAGTAGGGCAGCGCCTGTGACTCAGTGGGTAGAGTGCCGGCCCCATATACTGAGGGTGGCAGATTTGAACCCAGCCTGGGCCAAACTGCAACAAAAAAATAGCCGGGTGTTGTGGCGGGCACCTGTAGTCCCAGCTGCCAGGGAGGCTGAGGCAGGAGAATTGCCTAAGCCCATTGGAGGTTGCTGTGAGCTGTGAAGCCCTCTACCAAGGGCGATAGAGTGAGACTCTGTCTCTAAAGAAAGAAAGAAAGAAAGAAAACTACAAAAGTAGAGAGAGCAGCATGATAAGGTCCCATGTATCATAACCCAGCCCACAGCTCATCCAGGCCTCTACTAACCTCCCTTCAGTAGTATTTTGAAGCACATTCAGATTTACTTCATCCATAAATATATCAGAAATTATCTCTAAAAGATTTCCATAAAGCATCATTAAAATATTATTTTTGCCAGGCATGGTGGTACATACCTACAGTCCCAGCTATTCTGGAGGCTGAGGTAGGAGGTTTGCTTCAGCCCAGGAGTTCCAGTCTAGCTTGGGCAAAATATTGACAACCCATTTCTAAAGAAAAAAAATTTTTTTTTTCAAGACACAGTCTTACTTTGTCACCCTTGGTAGAGTGACACCCTTGGTGTCATAGCTCACAGCAACCTCAAACTCTTGGGCTCAAGCAATCCTCTTGTGTCAGCCTCCCAAGTAGCTGGGACTAGAGGTGCTTGCCACAGTGCCTGGTTATTTTTAGAGACAGGGTCTCACGCTAGCTCAGGTTGGTCTTGAACTCCTGAGCTCAGGCAATCCACCCACTTTGGCCTGTCATAGTGCTAGGATTATAGGCATGAGCCAGCGTGCCTAGCCAAAAAAAAATTTTTGAAATGTGGTCTTACTCTGTTGCTCAGGCTGAAGTGTAGTGGTACATATCTTACCCTAACTTCCCAAGTCCTAGGCTTAAGCAATCCTCCTGCCTCAGCCTCCCCAAGTAGCTAGGACTATAAGACCACCACCACACCCAGCTGAATTTTTGTTTGTTTGTTTGTGGGTGTGTTTTTTTGAAAGACAGGGTCTATTGCCCAGGCTGGGCTAATTTATCCACCTCAGCCTCTCAGAAAGCAGGATTACAGGTGTGAGCCATCGTGGGTAGGCTCCCCAAAACTATTTTTGCACCTAATAAAATGAACATTTTTTTGTTTTGTTTTGTTTTTTGAGACAGAATAGAATGTAATGGCATTGTCATAGCTCACTGCCACCTCAAACTCTGGATGGTTGCCACCTCAAACTCTGGATGGTTGTGAACTCCTGGCCTCAGGCAATCCTCCTGCGTTGGCCTTCCAGAGTGCTACTATTCTAGGCTTGAGGCACTGCATCTGGCCAAAATAATTTCTTATTATTAAACTATGCAAAACTTGGAGAGAAGTGTGTGCAGTGGTGTGAAAAGTGCCCTCCCTGAGGGTCCCACCTGCTGCCAGAGTTCTAGTCCACCTCGGTCAATCCAAAGGTCTTCCCAGAGAGAAAGAGAAGGACTATGGCCCTTCCTCAGGAGGCTGAGTCTAGACAGACCACCACAGCATCCTGGAAATGCTGGGAGGTCTGAATTCAGGGACAGAGGTGTTGGGGAGATCGGGTACAGATCCCCCTATCTCTGCAACCATCTCTTCTTTCCTGAAATCGTTTTGATTCTTATAATATTTCTTCACTTCATTAATTCATGTATTCATTCATTCATGCAGCAATGTGTGCAGAGAGCCTCCTTGATGGTCTGGGCAGGGTTGTGGGTACAGAGCAGGGAATGTGAGATTTGGGCCAAGTTTTTGAATCACAAATGTGCTGGAAAATAGGTCAGCCCCAGAGGGCAAGGTAATCGGCAATCAGCCCTCAGAGAAGCCTGTAGGGCAGGGCTGAGGCTCCCCATCTCCAGGCTCTCCCATAGGGGTTCTGCTTCAATTCCCACCCTCCAGTAAGAGCAGCAACCCATGAAGGGGGCTGGGGCCCTCCCTTGATGGGGGCTATGCTGGGTTGAGGACCAGAACAGGGCTGTCACCCACACATAGGGTCTTTCCTGGGGCATCAGAACTGCCCTGGGGTTGCTGAATCCACACAGCTTGTGCCTCAGCCAGGGCAGCTAGTACCTGCCCCTACCTGCTGCATTAGGGTCAGAGCAGAGCAGCAGTTCTCACACATGAGCAATTTGTTCCTTCTTCCCACCAGTGTTTGTGGAGAGGTTTCAGGCCAATTGTGACTCCTAGCACAGCTGCATACTGACGGGGGCTGTGGGTGAGTTTATTCACTCCTTATTCAACATTTATTATGAGCCTACTGCATGTGAGGGCCAAGCATAGGTCTTCAGAATGCAGCAATGAACTAGATAGAAGCTCCCGGGAGCCCCTTTCCTGCACCCAGTCTCAGCCTGCTATGGGGCTGAGCCCAGGGTCTGATGCCTAATAGGTACCCAGCATTGTGTCTTTTCCCCCAGCTTTGCTCATCTACTCCAGCCAAGGTCAGCCTTTTACCTTTGAGTCCATTGAGGATTTTCTTGTTCTTTGAGAGATGGTCTTACTCCCTCATCCAAAGGATTGTTTGTGAGATATAATTCACATATAAAGTTCATCCTTTTAAAGTACATAATTCATTTTTTTTAGAAATAGAGTCTCAGCTCGGCGCCTGTGGCTCAAGAGGCTAAGGTGCCAGCCACATACACCTAAGGTGGCGGGTTCGAATCCAGCCCAGGCCTGCCAAACAACAATGATGGCTGCAACAAAAAAATAGCCGGGCATTGTAGCAGGTGCCTGTAGTCCCAGCTACTTAGAAGACTCACTTGAGCCCAGGAGTTGGAGGTTGCTGTGAGCTTTGATGTTACGGCACTCTACCCAGGGGGACAGCTTGAGGCTCTGTCTCAAAAAAAAAAAAAAAAAAGAAATAGAGTCTCATTTTATCACCCTCAATAGAGTGCCAAGGCGTCACACAGCTCACAGCAATCTCCAACTCCTGGGCCTAGGTGATTCTCTTGCCTCAGCCTCCCAAGTAGCTGAGACTACAGGCTCCCACCACAACCCCCAGCTATTTTTTGTTGCAGTTTGGCCAGGGCTGGGTTTGAACCCACCAACCCTCGGTAAATAGGGCCAGTGCCCTACCAGCTGAGTGACAGGCGCCACCCCCGTACATGATTCATATTTTAGCATATTCACAGAGTTGTGTAGTCATCATCACTAATTTATTTATTTATTTATATTATTTTATTTTTTTGTAGACACAGAGTCTCATTCTATTGCCCTTGGTAGAATGCCATGGTATCACACAGCTCACAGCAACCTCCAACTCCTGGGC